ACTTGGCAACCGTTTATAAAGAAATGGCGGCCGGTAACCAATGAAGACTACGACTTGCTCCTGAACCAGCACTTCAACCCCCAAGAGACGAACTCGAAAAGAATGCACGAAGAAGAATACAACGACTTGTACAAAATCGCGGTCCTCGGCACAGTTCCGGATTCCCGCTCCTGGTCCCAAAAAGTCAGTCAAAGAGTGTTGGAATACGCCGCCGTGGCCACCGTAGTCGCGGTGCTCCAATACGGGCTTTGCTCACAGGGCTTCTGCAAAAGCATACCGGATTACTGCAGCAACATTCAGAGCTACTTGACCGGCAATGGCTCCACCACTGGCGACAGCACCGCCGTGGCCCCGATGGCCCACGGTTTGTACCAGGCGCAAACGACCGAGGCCCCGGGTCTTTTGCAGGGTCTGGTGGGCACCTTGACTACAGCCGCAAAAAACCTAGCTAGTAATGTGGTGGCCAGTAATTTCACAGAAACCCGTAACTTGACGGAGACCCGTAACAACTCAGCGTTGGAGACGTTGGTTAGAAAGTTGGCAGCGGCCAACATGGTGGCGACGAGTGAACCCGCGGAAGCTGCGGGCATCCCGCCTAGGTTTGCGGAGATCTCGTTCGACATGGCGTATACAGCGTCTAAAGAGGTGAGGGGCGCTTTTATGGAGGCAGTGAGCACGGTCTGCGAGAAGTGGAATATGGCTGCTGCGGACTTGGAGACGGTGTTGAGGAGAGTCCCCACTCAACCGAGTACATTCATGTGTCCCAAGCTTCCGACGATGAGCTTCGCCGAGTTGAATAGGCCTGGCCTGTTTGTGGACCCCGGGACTGGATGGGACTTGCAGCGGTTGCGGGCGTCCTTTAGCAAGTGTGTGGACATGGACTTCAACCCGGAGAAGACGGACATCTGGCTTGGCGCTTTGGGGCCAGAGTGGGCGCCGCGCCACCGGACGTGCGGCCGCGCTAGCGAAGGCACCTTGATGTGCCGCGGCTTGGGAGTAAGCAACCCACAGTGCTTTGACTTTCATCCCGAATGGGAGAACTATCCGGGCGGCCTCGGTTTCTTGATTGACATGATCGATCGAATCTTTCGTCCCATGGGTGACGAGGACTGCGTTGTTCGTTGCGGTGGTTCTGACACCGGGGGAGAGCTTTGGCTCAAGAACGCCGAGGAACGAGACGCGGTCCGAAACGCTATGAGCGGCCGCATAAATCTCGGCGATGCGTGTACCCGGGAGGGACTTGAACACTTCGTGCAAGCCGCTCGGAAAATGTACACACAGGCGGTGACGCGAAAGTACCCGCCCGACGTGCGCCACTACCACACGGAAGATTGGCGACTTCTTAGCCGACTCTGGTTCAAAGCGCCGTGCGGCGCCGGCATCTGGAAACCCGGCGAACCCTTGCCCACGTGCGCGTGTGCAAAATTTAGCATTTCTTGCGAGACTGACAACCACTTCAAGATCTCCTACACCGCAAGAACGCCCGAAATCGCATTTGCCGCCCTCCCCCCCGGTCTCAAGCTCGAACGCTGCGTCTACCAGTGCCTCACTAAGATCTAAGCAGATGCCAACGTAGCGACGCCACGCCAGAACCGGAACCAGTTAACACCAGCGAGAATAGTAGTCTGATCGATCGATCCATCCATCCATCCATCGGGATCGCTGTCGAGTAGCCAGTCGAACCCGGTGTCGAATAATTCCCTCTCTCTCTTTTCCGGGTTTGTGCGCGTGTTCGAACGCGCGCACACACTTTCTTTGTGCCATTTCCGGCCTTTAACAAGGGACAGCAGACGTCGCATGCCCACCCACGTACAATACCCAATGCGCAGAACTTGGCCCTAAGCAGGCTGAGGCAGGAAAGGGGTCCAGCTTGGGAATGGTTAAGCTGATAAGACGGCAGCGATGACAACACTCGAGGGTATGCGAGAGACAGCGAAGTGAAGGTGACACCAGTTCGCCGACCTGTCTGTATGAAGACATACTAGGAGGGGGCATTTGACTGGCCCACGGTTATGATGAGTTGGAGATGAGAGATTGACGGCCTCCGTGGAACGGCTTGGCAGCTGTGAGTGGTGTCGTAGGAGGTTGTTCGAGGTGTCAATGAATGTGTACTGCAATGACAGTAACCGTCTTAATCTTCCTTGCGGTCTCGTTGCGTCGCGCCTTTGTTGGCGAAAAATATTTTTCTTTTTCTGGGTGCTAATGAAAACAAACGTGTGCGGACAATCGAGCGGCCTGGCATCAAGTGGGCTCTTGTCTGTGTTGTATACTGGTGGGGGTGAGCAGACGAGCCTTGAGGGCTGCACCGCGAAGGTGGCAGTAATTGACGGCCTCAAGCGTTGCCAGCCCCTCGAGGTTCTGGTCGTGGCGGACCGGAAGGACCTTGCGAAGCCAGCCAAGCGGTTCGACCTTGGACAGCATGGGGTCCGACTGATAGTGTTGCCGCCAATGGGCCTAGATGGCGAAGGTGACGATGCAACCGTGTGCAAGTTCGAGGATGAGCGCCGACAGCGCGGCAAGCAACATGATCGGTCAACCCTGATTGATACTGGCGCAGCTGATTTCCACCGTGCCGTTGACTCCTTAGCGACCAGCATTTGGGAAGGTTTGGTGTCATCCAAGAATCCCCTCCACGCCTTGGACAAGCGAGTTGCGGACCGAATTTTCGAGGACATTGTGCCGAGGAGTATGGCGCCGGCGCGACCCGTGGAAGGCACTCGGCGACCCTTTATTAAGAAGTGGCGGTCGGTAACTGAGCAGGACTGCGAATTGCTCTGGAAGCAGCACTTGAGCGCCCAGGAAACGAACCCGAAAATGCGCGAAGTAGAAGACGACGAATTGGCAGCCTTGAACAAGATTACAATCCTCGCCTCACTTCCCAAGGAACCCGGATCGCGCTCGTCCTCCAAACCCCGCTCCTGCTCCAGCATGCTGTGTCGGAAAGCAGTGGAATGGATCCTTGTAGGGATTGCAGGCATAGCCCTGCAACAGTGGGCTGAATCACTTGGCTATTGGAGCGGCATCAAGAGCATCTGGAGCCCCCTAGTCGACGGCACTGTCATGGCCAATGGCACCGCCGTGGGCAATGAAACTATCCCCATGACCCACGCTCTGCACCAAGTGGTCGAGGCTCCAAGCGTCTTGCAGATAATGTTGAACAACTTTAGACAAGTAGCGCAGGACTTCGTAAGCGACTTGAGGCTGGCCGAAAACCGTAACCCGAACTTAACGGAGTTCTCGAACTTGACGGAGTTCTCGAACTTGACGGAGTTCTCGAACTTGACACAAGCCAAGCTGCCTATGGGTCAGTGGGTGAATCATGATTCGTTGAATAGGTACGGATTGTTCGTAGACCCTAAGACGACAATTGACCTGCAGTCGTATCGCGCGCCGAACGCCGTGTGCGTGGATATGTTTTATAACCGGGCGAAGACAGACGTAAAAGTTCGAGAACTTATGTTGACGGACCACGAGCTTTGCGGCAAGGAGAATAATGGTACTCTGATGTGTCAAAACTTGATAGTACGCAACCCCCAGTGTTTCCAGTTTGTGTCCGGAGACGCGAAGGATCCACGCGGTCTATATTTCTTGTGGGACATGATTGATAGAATCTTTGGTCGTGAAAAAGGCGACAAGGACTGCGTCATTCGTTGCGACCATGCCGACGTAATGAAAGAACGGATGTTCAGTCGGATCATAGCTTCAGCTAGACTCTTTGATCCGGCTGACAAGATGCGACTGTTCCGTACGACTGATGCAACCCCAACCATGAACTTAACACAGACCCAGAACTGAGCGGACAAGTTGTCAGCCGATAATCCCCGAGCCAAGTACCCGCTCGAGCAAATGTTACCACCATCTCCGATGACAACAATCAAAGAACCAACTCGACCAAAAATGGCACACTTCGTGTCCAAAAATGGGTTTTTACGTTACCACTACGTGCTCCACTAGCGAGTACGCCATTGCGCTCGCCGGCCAGGTGACCTGATTTGAAGTGCGCTAATTCAATGAATTTGTCATCTGCCCTTCGAGGACGACTCCTTGCAAACTTCGCACACATCTTTTTGTTACTATTCTCCTTCGGTCAATGACTTACGTGCCTCGATACCAACAACCCACCCTCCTATATCACTGGGTGCTGGAAATACATGACTACTGGCCACCTCGTTCAGCGGAGACCGGCTCACATAAAATTACTTGCTCGCGGTTCTGACCTATACCGCCCCCAAGGCTTACGAACGTACGACGGGCGACTCCCAATGGTAATCAAGGACCGCGTCAATGCTGACTACTGGTAGCTCCCGACCCGGATGCGCAGCTTGTACTGAACACTGACGCCAGTCAGTACGCGGTAGGAGCGATATTAGGCCAGGTCAACGATGGCAGGCTGGAAGTGGTCGAGCACCAGAACCTATTCCAGCTACCGTCACGCAACGAGTTCCTTGTGAAGGACGACGACTTCCCCGGCGGACGAGTTGCAAATCTCCTCAAAAGAGGAGGCGGCCTCCACCGTAAGACCAAAAAGTTGTACGTCCCGACTCGGCTTAGTTCTAAGCTAACTGCTTGGTACCATATGGTAGAGCGCGGCGGACGTCAAAGCGTCACTAAGACCCTCAGGAACATGTCCGAGCTGTTCTGGTGGCCACGGTCCAAGGAGTTCGTACAGCACTTCGTCCAAGAGTGCGCCGTTCTTCATGAGTAGGGTAAGAGTGGATTATGTGGGTCCTAGAACATTCCAAGGGCAGGAGTACTACATCCTTGTGTGCACAGACCACGCAACTCGCTACACTGTAGCAACAGCAACGTTGGTGAAGACGCTGCGGTAACGCGCAACCCGTTTGCAGAAAGTGTAGTAGGAGCGTTGGGGATACCCTTCGAAGTATACACGGACGGCGGAACAGAGTTCAGAAGTGACTTCCACGACTACGTGACTTCCGTGCTGAAAGTCAATCAACCCCGCACCACACCTGCCTCGACAGAATGGACTAAACGAATCGAATCACCGCACCCTCGAGGTCCATAATGTCCAGAATACCTCGGGACGGTAACTATTGACGCTGTTGCTTGCCCAGGCAGTGTACGTCTACAACGTGACGATCCACAGCGCCGCAGGGATGTCTCCTATGCCGGCCGTAGCTGGCAGAGAGCCCATGCTACCCGGGTGGTCAGAAGAGGGATCTCGGTCCATGGGAGAAAGGTTCATCATGACCAAGCTACTCGACGCGACGAGGCCACAAAACATGCCCTGGTGCTCACCGAACCACCGACAGCGAAAGGCGAAGACTTCTAGCTGGGAGACGTTGTAGTCGTAAGTACCATGGTCGAGCCCGTCCAAGCCGTAATCCGTGATAAGGTCAGAATGGATAGATACCAAGCCAGTTGGTCGAACCAGTTGCTTTGTCCGGGGACACGCCCGTCAGTCACGTTGACATGTGCACGCCCTTGCAGAATATGACCAGGGTCTCTCATAGTCACGTCGGTGTTAGCCCACTGGTCTAGTTATCGTTTTCCTTCGTACTCCTGCTGTGGACGTCGAGTCTCGATCACTGTAATAGACTTCTTCTAACATGTTGGCTTTGGGCGGTGTGCCGACTCACACCAGCTTTTGCTTTGAACGGAAAAGGGGCAAAACAATAACGGCTGTGTGGTCTTATTTTTTTCTCTGTAATGAAAACGAGTGTATGCGGAGAATCGAGCGGCCTGGGACTAAGTGGGTTATTGTCTGTCTTGTATACAGACGGGGGTGAGCAGACGAGGGTTGACGGCTGTGACGTGAAGGTAGCAGTAATTGGCGGGCTTGGGAGTCACTTGGAGGTTCTGGTTGTGGCGGACCCGAAGGACCTTGCAAAGCCGCGTTCCAAGTTCGACCTTACACAAGATAGCGTGAGACTGTTGGTGATTCCGCCCGAAAACTTCGATGAGTGGTGGGGTGAAGGTGACCATCTCCCCGAGTACCTGTTTGATCCGCAGACGAAGCACGGCAACAACGAGAGGACCGAGTTGGACGAACGCGCGGAGCTGCTTACGACACGGGTGGCTGACTACCGCCGATCCGTGAACTCTTTGGCGACCAGCATCTGGCACGACTTAGTGGCGCCCAAGAATCCCCTCGACGCGTTGGACCAGACAGTCGCCGACCGAATCTTTGAAGACCTTGTGCCGAGGACTATGGCACCTGCGCAAGCCGTAGAAAATGCTCCGCGACCCTTTATAAAGGAGTTGCGGTCGGTCACGAAAGAGGACTACGACTTGCTGTGGAAAGAACACTTCAACCCTAGAGAGACGGACACCAAAATGCGCCAAGTAGAATACGACGACTTGACAGCCTTGCACAAGATTGTGATGCTTGCTGTAGTTCCCGAGCCGACACCGTGCTCCAAAACGAGCTCATGCGCCAGTGTGATCTGCCGGAAAGCGGTGGAATGGTCCGTCGTGGCCGCGGCCGCTATAGCACTGCAACAGTCCCTTCAAGCACTAGGCTATTTGGCCGACGTAAAGAGCATCTGGAACTCCGCGGCCAACGGCTCTGTCATGGCCGATTGTGCCGCCATGGCACCGATGGCAGACAAGCTGCAGCAAGAGCTTACTAGCAAGGATCCTAGTGTCTTACTGAAGATATTTGGCAACCATAGAGACGTGTTTAAGGACCTGGTCGGGAGTGCAGTGGAGGCGGCACGTAACAGTACCCCTCATCTGCCTGTGGGTGAATATGTGAACGATGATTTATACGATAGGTATGGTGTGTTTGTGGACCCTCAAACGAAAACTGACCTGCAGTCGTTCCGTACACCGCGTGCCACATGCGCGGCCATAACAGCCAATTCGTATAGCTGGGACGTCCAGGTCGGCGACAAGCTTATGTTCACGGACTCCAACATTTGTGGCTGGGAAAATGACGGCATCCTAATTTGTAGCAACTTGCAAATTCGAAACCCTCAGTGTTTCCAGTACGTGTCGGGCGACGCGAACCACCCACGCGGTCTCTTCTTCTTGTGGGACATGATCGATAGAATCTTTGGTCCGGAAAAAGGCAACAAGGAATGTAGCATTCATTGCATCAACCCGGACAGCTGGAGACAAGAATTGCTGCGCGAGCGAAACAAGTATTCAGCCGGAAGGATGAATCCGGCTGACGAGATGCGACTGTTTCGGACAAACCCCGCGTGGCACAAGGTCGAGAAATCTTTAGAGGCCGTGAAGTTTACGAATGCCGCCACCTCTACGCAAACCGTTAACTCTACGCAGACCGTTGACTCTACGCAGACCGTTAAGTACACGGAGACCCCTTACTCTACGCAGACCCTTAACTCTACGGAGGCCCCGAACTCTACGCAGGCCGTTGACGTCTACGCAGACCGTTAAATACACGGAGACCCCTTACTCTACGCAGACCCTTAACTCTACGGAG